GAGGGGGAACCGGATTGGATATTTTCGAAAGGTCCAGAAAAAATTACTTCACTATACTCTGTTCGTCGGCTAATCTTGTCCATTCATCTAGGGCAAGGCCCCAGTTAGTAGCACAGGATCGTCTTTACCAGCATCAATGTTCGGTCGGCGAAAGAATGTCATATTTTCCTCGTTCTTCCTTTCAGGGAATCTGCCACGATCGGCCCTATGACTTTGGACAGAACTGGAGTGAGAGTTACAAGTTTACTACAATAGCTACCATGGCAAATAAATAAGAACGCCTTGTTCCCACCAATATGTGGGCTTTCTGGTCGAACAACCTCTTTAAGCATGTCCCTAACCGTTTTCTATACCAGTCATTTTCTTTCTTTCTTTCTTTACAACTCATAATCCAGACTATTGCCTGCTAACCAGAGTTTCACAACTCGAGACCAATGACTTTCATCATCAAGTCTGTTTTATGCCATAGTGTCTAACTCGAGCGCGTCCATTCTCATTGCTAGTGGTCTTCACTTCAAACTTCCTTTGTCTGTAAGCATCACGAAGAGAACAGTAAATTCCTGTCCACTCTACATATGACCACTAACCTTGTATGCACATTGCAAGTCTGGCAGCGATCAGTGAGGTTCGCTGAACCAAGATATTGATGATGATGATGATGATGATGATGATGATGACGATGATGATGATGATGATGATGACGATGATGATGATGATGATGATTATCCGTTTGCTGTTTTATAGTCCTAAGGCCCCATCGTGTTCCATAGTTTCATTCCTATTACCAATATGCTCTGAATCCCGTTTCAGGCAAGAAGTTGCAGGAAGAACAGCAGCAAATTCAGGATATCTCCTGTCTTCCGTGTCTGCAATTGTATGATATTCCGATGGAATGCCGGCGTGAACCATTCACCATGACTGAGGGTAAGTTAATGAGTAGTGGATGCGTGCCGAAACGTGTTGAATAGATGTCATATTTCGATTTTCTATCGGCGCTTTACAAATTCCCATCACGTAGTGTTCACCGATTTCATGGTCAAACCGTATAATTCACTTTCACTGGCGTACTCCGTGCCCTAAGGTCCTAGGTTTGAATCCTGCGATCCCCTCGCAACTTTGGTACCGGACCGGTTCGTTGTCATCCAATTCGATACCATGTCTATCCTGTTGGGTACTTCGTATCTCCAACCCCGGGGTTCAGGTAGTTGGTTTAGTATAACGAAACAGTTGTCCCCCTCCCCCTCTGGTGACTGAAGTGCCTCACCCACAAGTTTGTAATGGTAAATCCCTCAACTCCCTGATCAATAAATTATGTAAGATCCATTCAACTGCGTTGTCTGTCCACTTCTGAATAAAAGACCCGGGATACGTGCATTGAACCGTCACATGTGCAGATCATATAGTATAGTGATGGTTATCCTTTTAAAATTATCGATGCCTAATCATTCAGACGATGATGTGTCTTTCTGACCACAGAACCAGCAGAGCAACTAAACCACTCCCAGATTTCGTGCCTATATATGTATATATATATATATATGCTACCTGGGTACATGAGTATAGATGAACTGAAAAGAGAATACCGGTCGTGTGCTTCCAGGGAATTTTTGACCAATCATTCACTTTATGAATAGCAAGTCACATGATGATTCAAGGAGAGAGAGAGAGAACACGACGTGGTGAAGCCAATCGGAAGAGGGTGAAAATAAAGAGATGGGGATAACCACCGGTGTTTCGAGGAAATGATGAGAACCAACTATTATTTGGCATAAAAAAAGCCAACAGTTTTTCGGTTCCTCTGGCTAAACTGTGATCAGGATTGCTGAAAGTAACACCCTATTTCTCGACGTAGTAAATGTCGTGAAGAGAAGTGACATCCACAAAGGCCTAGGTTGAATGTAATCTGACAAAATTATTGAAAACAGTTCTCGTAGCTCGGGTGAATTCAGTTGTTTTTTTTTACCTGTTCACTGAGCTTGTTTGCAAACGTCTCATCGTCAGCCGAATGAACATTTTCAATACGGGGTAATCGTTCCGTCCGTTCCCTTATAGCAGTTCTTCAGCTATTTTGTTTTTTGTTCCTCATTCCCGTTGGTTTTGAATCAGTGTATGATGTATAGGTATTTCGAACTCCTTGAATACGGCTTGCCCCGACTAGACTTACCCCCGTTTACTTCTCTCTCCCCACCCACCCCCACAGCTCAGGGCTGTCCTGTGCAGTTGAACGAGGCCCCGACAAATGACCTGGTCTACTTCCATTGCCTTGCAAATCNTTGCAAATCTGGGCGATTTGCATCAAGAATTGTTGCAATACGTCCCGTTGTTCTGTGAACTGTTCCCAAGGTTCGTGCCACGTTCGATCTAATTAGGATTGACCGGTTTGTCACAATGCGCATCTTACGGTTAAGCAAAGCCGTGACCAAGATCACACGAATACCCTACTAGTTGACTGACTGATTGATTTCTGGTGTAAAAGCAAATGACATGGCGTTCGACTCAGTTCATTTAATCTATCCGCAATTTTAACTTGTAGATAAAAAAAAAGTGTACAGACGGGTTTCAGGCAAATGTGTATCTCCCCTAGAAGGTATATTTACTTTCAAGTTTCTATCCCAAGCTTCTGTAACCCGGAGGAACAAGTGTGGTGGTCTTGTGTGTGAACCATTTCTGTTATCTTTCACCGTAGTCTTTTCGTAGCTTGCGCAGTACATGTTTGCGGTTTTTCGAGGTGTGGTCAGTTCGCGGACGATTCGCAAAGCAGCCTGGTCAATGCTCAGCAACGCGAACTGGAAAAGACAAATGAAATGTAGTGTCGCATTATATGACCCTAGACCAGTGGCCTATTTTGGACCAGGTGATTACAATATTGAGAATGTATTTTGTTCACCTGGTTACGCGATGATAATTCTTGGTTGCGAAACAAAAGCAACAATTACTCTAGTGGCCTACTCTGTGGCATCCATTCATTTCATCTCAAATAACAATCCGTAGTAGTAGTGTTGTGACATACTACTCATTTGTGTGCCGTAGGTTACATAGTTGGTGATTTATTTCAACTATCAAAAATCAACAGGATCACCGAGGGTAAATTGCTGTATCTCAAACGATAAGTGTGGATTGCCACATTCATTACCCGTTGTTTGGCCAGTAACTACGATGGTATGTTTCTGATGAGGTTTTTTGTGCTATGTATGCCAAATGACTGATGTCCCATCTGTCATCCTCAACAAAACAACTGTCTTCGACCGAGCACCACCTTTTGGAATTATAAGAGTGTTGGTAGTAGTAGTAGTATTTGGAATTTGTCTACTTACACGATTTCGGTAGTCTAGCTCTGAACGACGATTATTATCATCAACCATCCTTTTCCTTCAAATTTTCACATTTGGAATATGGATCGTGTTGTAGGATGAAGGTATCACCTCTCCCTCTCTCTCTATTGGAGTGTCCAGGAGAACCAATTGCACCCACTTACCTCATGGTGAATTGCATTTCTTGCAGACTGATCGCCAAGCTTGGTGACCATTTGAACAATAAAAATAGACGTACCACTCGAGCTACAAATACGACAATCGGTCACTATAAGGACGGGGTAGCAATTAATTGTCCGTCAGAGCTCTTATTTTGTTGATGTTTTCATGTGTGAAATGGAACTTTGTCCGTTCGAATGTGCACTTACTGTACGTAAATGGTATTTTGTGCGTGATCGTATCCACAACAACATATTGTGATAATCTATTAGATCATTTTTATGCTGCCGTTCGGAATTTAACATTGGCACGCGATACAGATGCATCCCATAAAAGCAGCCTATCTGTATGCATATTTGTGCAACTGGTGATTAGGGCTAGATCAGGTATTCAGCACCCTGGAGGGTGATGCTTCAGTTTTGTTTCAGTTTGTACAACCATTAACCACGCATATTCGAGCGCCGGTTTTGGTTGCTGTCTTTGGTGGATGAAGAATAGGAGAAGAAAGGAAAGTTGAAAGTGGAGTCGAACGGAAAATGGAGAATTTCAGTGGTCTAAGGTTGCAAAGAAAGGTGATGTGGAACTGGCAGTACATTTACTTCCATATCTATGTATAATATTTAGTGTAAAGCAAAACCCTCATGCCCTGTTTGGTCAATAGCGCTAGAAGGATCCGTGCGGAGGACGTGGAGATCGTTAAACTGCGCAAAATATTCTGAAGTTATTTATCTAAAGGAAACAAGTGGACCGCCTGATGAATTCTGGAACGAGAAAAACGAATTCGCCTTCACAAGAAGATTGAAGCAGAGAAAAGGGATATGCACACCTCTTTAACATTTAAAGAGACATAGAAGTCTGTCCTATACCCTCAAAAAACGTCCCATTCAGCAAAGCCCCAAACTGAACCCATTCATGTTTCACGTTCGTGTTCTAGCCACAAAGGAGGCTGTCCGTATCTGTCTTCAACCCCTCTCACCTTTTTTTGGTTCTCCAACGTCATTTGTGCAAGTACCGTAATTCCCGTAAATCGACTGCCGACACGTGGCTCATCCCGAAACACAGTGGAGCAAATGATGATTGAACCTTCACCCAAATTAAATAATAGTTATGCTCGAAAGCTTGGAACAATCCAAGTGCTTTCGTTTCTCTTGTGAACCCCGAACTGTATGTAACTACCCACGTAGATTGTGTTGAATTCGCATCAATATGAATCACTTGCAAGGATTGAGTTTGTCACTTTGTGTGTTCTCATTATGTTTTCAGTGAAACAGTTCAGACGTTAGATGAACGATCTCAAATACTAATCGAAATGGATATTTTGAACTTTCCAAAATTGGCACGCTTTTCTGATAAAGTTACAAGCTCGGTTCAGTCGCTTCTTCTACCATCATCGCCGTAGTTGCGCAGCACTTGGGGGGGGGGGGGCTTAAAAAATAAGCGGTTTCGAAATGTGTTGTTATAGCAACAGTCCCACACATACACTCTGCATCTACCACACTGGTCAAGTCGAAAGGCTTATACCAGTTCGTTTTTGAGCATGTCAGAAGTGGCGTATAAACACGTTTTCATATCGCTGCAAATCTTGGTCGAAGATTCCGCGTCTGTTCTTTTGAGCTTAACCTGGATTCCAGTGTGGATGGCACGCCTCCGGATCCTTCTTGCAATGAAATCGATGCCGCAAACGATGATTGATAGTCAAGTGATAACAAGAAATCCAGGGTTGTCAGTTGCAAAACATCGCATGACAACAAGACAAACAATTACCCCAATCCGTCTTTCAACCCACTATTACGTAGTCGCAGTGCTCAACTATTGGCGAACAGCGAAGCGCTGCTTATTCGATTACATCACCCGACCTTATGTGCAAAAACGTTTTTGATGCAATCCATCCACTTACCGTGCAGTTCACCGTAAAATAATCTTTGTATGCTTGTAAACGTTCCGTCACCATTATTGAACAGCCTCATGTGCCATATTTATGCTTGCTTGTTTTAAGTAGGCGATTGAGAAAATTAAACGGAACATTAACATCTCGCGAGATTTGCTTTCTCTCTATATTGGTGAAATAAGAACACAGCTTTCTATCATGACTAGCTTCTCTCATTGAACAGTTTCTCAGATCGAAAACTCCCACTTCAGTGTTCTTTGTGCTTCTCATCATGTTAGAATGAAAACTATGGGTAAACAACAAATTAATTACCACAAAATGAATAAAATATTTTTTGAGAAAAAAAACTCTCCAATTACGGAG